GAAATGGTGTTCGACCTTGTTTTTAGTGGTACTAGATAATTGCATATGCATTGTAGTGAGGTTTTTTTGACAGGAAGGCCATCATGGGTAGCTTTATTAAAACTCAAATGACACTTACATCATCAGCTAAAAATTTAAAGAGGAAATCCGGCGGAGCCTCCAGCCAAAAGATAGGAGTATTGGCACCACCCCACTGAGCTAGCTCATGTGCAACCATATTAGACTCTCTAATACAATGTTCTACCACAGCCTTCCCGAATTATCTCAACATCACTCGGCAATCTTGCAAAATAAGAGCCGCCACCATCGAGTGTCCTTCATTATTATGTAGCGCCTGCACCACTATCAGGTTGTCCATACGTACTAAAAGATTGTTGCATCCAGCGCTCTGTGTTAGTTTTAGTCCCTCCAACAGCGATGCTGCTTCTGCTGAAACCACATCTGGGACGTGGTCAAGTCTCGCCGTAGCTGCCCTGATGAAGCCTCCTCTGTTATCACGAAGCACTGCTCCACAAGCTCTGTGAAATTGTCTTCTGAGTAGGATGCGTCAACATGCAGTATTTGTTGTCCCATCATGCCAGGAGACCATCTATTTGTACGTGGAACTTGGGTCAAAATCCCTCTTGCTCTAACAAAATTCAAGGTTAAAGCGTATATTGCTGGAGCAGTCCGAACTGGACACTAAACTTGTTCACCCGGGACCAATTGTCTGCGTTGCCACCATATGTACCAACATGCCATTGCAAACAACTCTGGTAGTTCAACTGGGTCCCTATATATGCGCTGAGAGGCTTGATCACATAGCATAAATTCAATCAATGTTGAACCAGCACAATCCACTAGCGCTGCATCCGCTACTTCCTTTGCTATTCCAAGAGCTTCCCAAATTTGCATTACTCGGGGGCATTTAAAAAGGGCATGCATTATGTCTTCTGCTCCCGAAGAACATACTGGACATTGAGAGTTAATGCCAATATGGCGGTTTGCAAGGACACAAAGACATGGGATAGCATTGTGCAAACACCTCCATAGAAAAATTTTTATCTTCCCTGGTAGCTTGGGTTCCATAATCTTTTCCACACCGGATGTGATGAAGATCCACCTGACTGAAGTGCACCCGGGGTTGCCGCATAACACACTTCCCACTGTTTATAATATGCTGATCGTACCGTAAAAACGCAACTCTTCGTGAGATGCCACGCGATGTAGTCTTCCATCTCCTAATGATGGATTGGGATTTGAAGAATGCGGTCCGCATCAATAGGCCAGAAATTCTCACGAATAAGCAGTTCATCCCATTCCCCCGAGATTGGGTCTATTAATTCATGAACTCTCGTAAGCACTTGATTCGCCCGAACTGTCACTATTTTCCTTGAAGAGCTACTCGATATCCAGCAATCATCCCAAATATTTATTTTTGCTCCATCTCCAACTCTCCATATACTACCCTTCTTGAAAATTTGAATTCCTGCCCATATATTGTGCCATACGAAAGATGAGCCCTTTTTCAACTCGCAATTTAGAATATCACCCGTGGGATAGTACCTTGATCTCAAAACCTTTGCACAGAGAGAGTCATAATTTTCAATCAGCCTCCAAACTTGCTTTGCGAGCATAGCCAAGTTGAAACTGCTTATCTTTGTGCACACACATTTTCCACCACGCAAACCAGTGCATCCGGCGTTGGTTCTCATCGTCACCCCACCAATACTGCGACATTGCAGTGAGGTTAGCTCGTAATTGGGCCGCCATTCTTTTGTGAACCGCAAACCGTAGAACAATAGTTCTACGGTAAGTTCATTAAAATAAATATTTACATACAAAGTACAACCGTCACATAACGGCGCCTCTCTTAACCAATTCCCGCTCTACAAAAATCCACGGAAAAATTAATTTACATGATTGTCAATCCACTCCTTGAAAGACTCTCAATGCTTAACTTTTGTTCTGTGAAGGATCAACAGAAGATCATTCCTTAGTTGGGTCCTCCAGGACTGTAATGATGGGGTTTTAGCTTGGAATAGCTTGTAGTTTCTTTGCATCCAGATATGCTAGGATCCCATTATGACAATGTTCAGTGAGAAGTGTGATGAAAAAGATTCAGCCATGATAGTTATTTAATCCGATACATTAATTCCGCTTTTCCTGCCTTGAGTAATAAAATCCCAGCAGCTCAGAGCAAATGGGCAGTCCCAGAAGAGGTGAAGGGCTGTCTCTTCGGTGGAGCAATTGCAAAGCTCACATTTGTAGTTGGGCAGAATGAAAAAATTCCTGTGATGGAGGTTTCTAACGATTACTCTGTCATGGAGAAGGAGCCAAATGAAAATCTTGTATCTCAACATTGCTGCATATTTCCAAATCTTACCAAAAATTGGGCCCCCATTGTATATATAGTTATAATGTTACAGATTTAGTGGGTTTTTATGTGATATACTAAATAAAGCATGATTTTATATTTAGTGAACACTTATTAGTTTATCAAAGGAAATATGTTTTTATTCGTCATATTTACTAAACATTGATCAAAGAATCTTATATTTAGTAACCATTTATTAGTCTAGTAGACAAAAAGATAAAAGGAAGAAAATTAAAACAGGGAGGGGAGGGGGGGAATGTAGGGCGGTAGCCAAAATTTCCATTGTTGACCCGCTCCCTCCAGGCACCCGCTCCCTCACGCTAGGGTTCCGCCGCCGCCGGCGGCGGCGCCCTAGCCCCCTCCCGCCGCCGCCGGCCGCCGGCTCGCGCGCCCCGGCCCTCCCCGCCCCCCCTCTTCCCCCTCCCCATCCTGTTCCCGCCCCTGCGCCGCCTCCCCGGGAGGTGGCCGGGGCGGCGCGCCCCTCTTCTTCCCTCGGCCGCCACCCCCGTGAGCTCTCCCCCGCCGCGGCGGCGGGTGCCCCGGCGCTGGCCCGGGTGCTGCCGGCGGCGGCGGGCCC